TTATCGTGAAAATTATTATTAGAATATAGATAAATAAATATTAGAATAAACATGTTTATCTTGATTGTGTGCCAAGATTTAATTTAATACTGCCGTTTATATATTTAATGTTGTTTCTATTAATCAGAAATTAAAATTAATTTTTTTTTAAAAATAATTATTATTAAAAGAAAAAGTAAACTATTTTTTAAAAAAATTTCAATTCGAAAAAAGTATATTAATTATTTATTTATTAACGTTTTATTTAGCGTTTTTAATTATACCTATTTTAATATTTCTGATTTAAGACGTTGTATATACATGCTGGTCATTTCTATTTTTGACTTTCAATTCAAATAATTTAATAACTATACTGAATTAATAAAATAAAAATTAACTTCTTTTACAGAATACTATAAAAAAATTGCATTAAAAGTTTATGAAGAAAATTTTTTAAAACAATAATTCGAGATCGTATCTTATTTTCTAAAAATTAAGATCAAATTATTTCTACTAATTTTAAACCAATGAAATATAAATGTACGATAATATGTGACATGACTTTACTTAGATATGTAAATTTTAAACTAAAGTTTTAATTTTACAACTGAGTGTTCTGTATATGGGTGATTCTACAAACGAAGGACGAAAATGAAGAAAATATGGACACAACATTTTTTTCTCATTTAAGGTCTGAAAAGTAATTTAACTTAAAGTTAATGACACTAAAAAAGATATCTGAAAGTGGCCAGACAAAATATTTAAAAAATTACAAAAGTTATGGTTGTTTATAAACAATTTATCTAGAAAATTAAGATCGTGTATAGAAAATTCACATTAACACAAAAAATAATGGATGGATTTATACAAAATTTATTACTCAGGGGTTTTCGGGGTCGCTGATTACGAATTCGAGGTCAGTTTTTCAAAATTCAAAATGGCGGAACCAATATGGCGGAATTTTTAAAAAAAATCGTTTGGATTGGCTTGAAACTCTCTACTCGGGGGTTTTTGGGGTCGCTGATAACGAATCCGAGGTCAGTTTTTTAAAATTCAAAATGGCGGATCCAATATGGCGGACTTTTTTTAAAAAATCGTTCGGATTTGCTTGAAACTCTCTACTCGGGGGTTTTTGGGGTCGCTGATTACGAATCCAGAGTCAGTTTTTCAAAATTCAAAATGACGGAACCAATATAGCGGAATTTTTTTAAAAAATCATTTGCTGCTTTTTAGTGCCACAATAGAAACCATTTAGATTTACAATTTTCATTAAAAGAAAATTATTTTTTTCAAAATTAATATACAAAATAAGCTTGACCGCTCATAATTCCCTCGTTTGTAAAATCACTCATATATATATAAAATAAAATATCATTTTGCTGAAATTAGGAAAAAATAAATTTTCTCAAGCAACAATTTTTTTTTACTGACAAATAATTTTTCAATTTATAAACTGAGTTTAGGATAAAATGTATAGAAATTTTTTTTCTTCCTCTATTTAACAATTAAAAATTGAAAAAATTTTATAAAAAAATTTTTATTTTCCAAGAACGAATGTGATTTTTTGTCAACTATCATTTTTATTAAATTTCTAATTTCAAAATTATCATTGACACATTTCGGACGCAGAAGCATATAATAATCGATTAAAAGCAGCTTTTTAAAAGAGCAGAACAATTAATTGAAAATAGTTTTATAAAAAGACAAAGTTCAGTTGTATATATTTACAACATATTTTTCTCTTTTTTGTTTAGATATTGCGAAAGAAGCTTTGATTGTGAATTGTTCTCGTAGAAAACAAATCGTAACCAAAAATGGATAAGAAATTTCTTTATATATATAAAGTAGAGCAGAATGATCGTCTATTGAAGGCAATTTTATAAGAAAGCCAAAGTATACAATTACAATTGCAACTTTTTTTTTTGTATCTTTATATTCGATGCAGCAGAACTTTCAATCGAATCCAGTGTTTTTATGTAAAACAAATAGCAACTACACATTGCCAGAATCTTTTTTTTTTCAACCAAAGAGGCGCAGCAGGTGGATTATTGATTTTTTAAAATAAAAAAGTAAAATTATTATTTGAGCCAATTAAATGGTATTTGTTTCAAATAGAAAAATTATTATTGGTTCAAATACAGTTTATTTGATTGAAATAAAAATTATATGGTTCAAGTAAATATTTATTTGGATAATAGTCAAGTAACCGAAAAAAATAAAAGTTGGTAAATAGAGCAATACTGATTTTAGTGCAAAATATAACACGGACGGAGAATTTTGATCGTGACAACGTCTTTTTTAATTAATTAAAATATATTTTATAAGATTATTATTTAGTATTTATTTTTATTTTGTAAATTGTAAACAAATTCTACTTGAACTAATAATTTTTGTATTTGAAACAAATACCATTTCATTGACTCAAATAATAATTATTTGATACAAATAAATATTTATTCGTTAATGATCAAGTAACCGATTATTTGAAGCAAATAAATTTTTTTTCAGTGCATAAAATTAGAATAAACGGACAATAATTTCCAAAGAATTAAATTTTAAAAATATTCAAAACGTAATGCCACATTATTACCAATTGCCGAAATTTTGCACCAGAATAATATCAAAACATAACCTCAATTATGGATTTACTCTGTTCAAGAATTGTGGTGGACCAGTTAGTTATAACAATTGTTGAACAGAATACATCCATGATTGAGGTTATGTTTTGATATTATTCCGGTGCAAAATTTCAGCAATTGGCAATACTGTGACTTTACTATGTACACAGGCCAACACCACACTACTATACATATATAGATATAGTGGATACTGTCAGCAGTGGCGTTGTATGCTAACATGTTAAATCTTTAACCGGTCGGTAACATAGAAAACTATAAAAAAAATTTATTTCCAAATTTGACAAAAAATAAGTTTGGCATCGAGATTAGATCGAAAGTAATCGAATAACACAAAAATCTTGAAAATATGACTTATAGTTTTCGAGTTCTGGCCGGCGATATGAACGCCAATTTTTCTGAACTACTGGAATATTGGTACACCATAACGTGTTCGCTAAAGAACCCCTAAACTCATATTTTTAATTTCATAAAACTGACCAACATGAAAAAAAACTGCATACACTTTCGGAATAACAGAAATATCTAAACGCAAATAACTTATTCTGAAAGCTTTTATACAAATCTTGTAATCTGAAATTAAATTATTTCCAAAAACATAAAGTAACTACATTAGGTATTTTGAATGTAGAATCTAAAACAGAAATCGAATTTTTTAGATGATTTCATATTTCACCCCGGAAAAGCATAATAAAATATTAAGAAAGCGATATATTTTAACTATTAAAACATTATGTTTGAAAAAATAAAAAAAAAAAAAATACGAGTCTGCTTTTAAAATTGTCAAAGTCTAAAGCCAATTTTCAAACAACACTTGGCTAGTTTTACTTTGTAAGTTCTGGTATCTACATCAAGACACGATCATAAAACCAACGAAATCCATAAAAAAAAGAACTTCCGCAAAAGGGTCTCTTTCACCGACCACACTATGTAACATCCCATCACTATCACTAGCCAACATCTCGAAAAGCTGCCATTTGGCCTATCAATCGAATGATAGGACTGCAACTTTGAACCTTAAATCTAACCTTTCTATTTTCTTTATATATATATACAATTGAATTTATCTCTAGTTTTTTTATTTATGACTTTATATTATTTTTCTGTGACCATTTTCTATCCAGTCATTTTTCCGAGTTGATTTTCACGAATTTTAAAATAAATTTTCTCGAATTTACAAAATTTTGATTTTATTTTTACAGAGAATGATTTTACTTTATAAAATCTTTGTAAATGTGTAAATAGAAGAATTTTTATAGTGAATATAAAAATTTTTCTAAATTTCTTTTTGCGAATGTCTGACACAGTTTCAGTAAAGTTTATATTCTGCTCGTTTTCAGAACTGATGATAAAAATATTTTTATTTTATTTTCTTTTTTGATAAACAACATTACTTGTGCTTCTTTAATAAAAAAAATTTTAAAACACAAGTATTTGTAATAAATTTCGGAAAATTGTTTTTTATTTTCTCTTTCTCACTTTAATTTTTGTTAATTTTTTTTTATAATTTTACACTCTTTAAATTGCATTAAAAGATTTTTATGGTCTCACTCTGAATTACACAGTCATTAAATTTTTTTCACATTTAAAAAAAATTTAATAACTTTTTAAAATTTTGAGCGCCATATTGAATCCGCCATTTTGAATTTTGAAAATCTGACATCAGATTAATAAGCAGCGACCTCGAAAACCGCCAGATACCAAGTTTTATAAAATATTAATAATTTTTAAAAGATATCTTGTCATTTTTTATTTAGGGGCTGTTTTCACTCCTAAAAACCACAAATGACTTGATCTAGCAAAACGGATATTTTTTTGGGTCCTATAGATTCCAAAAATGTTAGATTTTTTTGTGGGGCAAAAAAAAAGTTGAATTTTGTCGGACGGTGTTATGTGTAAAACTTTATAATTTAACGGAAATCGAGTCCTTTTGATTTGGTCTTATGACGATTCTTAATTATTATTAATAATCAATTTTGGTTTAATGGCATTTTATAGGACAAATTAAAAAATATTAAAAAACATCTTTAACGTTTCGGAATGCCATAAAATCAAAATTGATTATTTTTTAAATAATTAGGACATTAAGAATTTTAATTAATTATTATTTATTATAAATTGAACCGATAAATAATTCTGTTGCGAACGTTCAGAAAACTGTAGTTTAAAAGAATGTTTATTAATAATACATAAGTGTTTATTTCATGTTTTGAAATTTGTGGCCTTAGGTCTTTATTTCTGACATATTGAAAATAACGTAATTCTCTTAATAAAGACCTAAGGCCACAAATTTCAAAACATGAAATAAACACTTATGTATATAATTGGTCTACAAAAATAATTGAATTGAGTTTATTAATAATAATAAATTATTAAAATAAATACCTCATTGAAGCGGTTAATGAGGGTCTGCACAGAGGTTGTGACAGAAGTAGCAGTAGGCCAAGAGGCCTCTTCTTCCGTCTGTGTTGCGCTACTCGTCGTACAAGGAAAACTGGAGCCAAGACCTGGAGATGTTGACGATCTTGATGATGATTGCTTCTGAGTTAAAACAGGATCTTGTGCCACGTGCCGCAAATATTCGTTGGGTGGTACCTGATAGAATAAGTGGTACTCAGTCTCCGCCAACCTGAGCGCCACTTCCTCGGGGAAGTGCAGCAGCTTTTGCAAATCCTCCAGCTCCTCAGAGCTCCGAGGCAGCTGCGGCTGCGGCCGCTTCTCCAGCTCTGTAACAAAGAAAAAAAAAAGGAAATCAATTAGCTTGTTACTTTTATACAAAAAATCGTGAATCAATAAGTAAATTTGTGAGAATTTTAAAATTAATAATTTTTGACATAAACAAAATTTAATGTTACGGCGTAACAATAGATCTGCAGATGTTAGGAAAAAAATAATATTGAATACAATTTTTAAACCAATCGAAATAACTTAATATTTAAAAACACTTCTTTTTTCCCTTCCAAAATTTTTACGAAATTTACTTTCGAGATATTTATGGGAATTCTCTGAGGAAACTGATCAAAAATGCTACAGTTGTGAATTTATCATTTCAACCGTTTTAAACTAATACGTAATCGCGTAATTTTTAAGTTATGTCGTTCTTTTTTTGTTAATAAACGTTATTTTTCGAATTGTGTCTGTAATTTTTGATGTAATATCGTTGCTTAAAAACGAACCCTGATCCGGCGAGCTAATCCAACACTTTATTTTATCATTACATTCATTACAATCTCTAAGTCATATTTGTTAACGTATCTAAGTTTATTTAAAAGCACCTATATATATTTTAATAATCAGTTACAGAAAATTAATTTGGCATCTAACAGATATGTACGGGTTAAGGGTACACTTCAACATTTAATGTAATATTTTCATTTTCCCTTTCATATTAAATATGCGGATGCTGTTAGAATTACACAGAAAATTAAAAGGCATTAAAATAAAAAGCGTTGCAGCTTATTTTAATGCCTTTTAATTTTCTGTGTACTTATCTATCAACCGTCAAATGTTTGTGAGTCCAATACTCATCAAATTAATCGTCTAAAAATTGCAGAGTATATCTTCAAAAAGTGCATTGTCAGTTTACTTTTAAAAATCAGAAATCCAAGAGTTTTTAACAATATCCCCACATTCTACAACATTAAGTTTCAACATTAAGAGTAATAAAGTAACTTTTATAGTTGCTGACTGTAGCATAACTGTAGACAATGAAAAAGGAAGCTTTTGCACAAATCTTATTGCCGCATTTCAAGAATTCTACCACATATATGCAGTATACGAGGCGGTATATTAGATAACCGGCAGTATTTAAAAAACGATTCTATTTATTAACACCGTTTTTATTTTTAGAAATTTGACCCCAGCGGTTTTTTGTATTCAAATTTTTAGAAAAGTTTACATCAAACTAAAAATGCTATTCAAAATAATACATAGGATTTAATATTGAACGCAAAAGTCTCGATATATAAAGAATAAAATAGATTTACGAGAAAGATGTAAAATATGTTCCTAATGTTCCCGCTGACGGGCCATCAATCTAGGCATCGATTTTTTTAATACTTGAAGATGTATTACATATTGTACAGGAAAATGTTTTGTTTGACCCGGAGATATTTCAAATTCTAACATGGATTATTGGCTAATATGAAATCATCCATTTAAATATAATATATTTAAAGGGGGGACTCTCCATGGTTAAAATTTCAGACTGATTTCAGATTAAATTCAGGATCAGATCAGTCAGGATTAGTACAGAAAATATACGAAAACAATCCCAAAATGATCCGTATTAGTCAACAATCAGTCTGGACGAAAAGATAAATTCGAGATCAATCCGGAATAGTCTGAAATTGAAATAAATCCCTAATTAGCCCGCAACAATTTGATTTTAGTTAGATAAAAAAAACAATTCAAAATAAGTCCAGAATAATATAGAATTTTTTTTTTATGTAAACTATCCGCCAACAGTAAGCAACAATTAAGTACTGTCAAAAAAACTGAATCCGACATGAATCCGTAATAAGCTGAAATCTTTATGTGGAAAATCCGTTATTAGTCGACAATAATCTTGATTTAATATGATAAAAAATTCAAAGCCGAAATGAGTCTGGAAAAATTAGGAATTAATATGTTCAAAATCAGCGGTTGCAATCTAAACAAAAATCTTAATTAGCAAGGAATTCGAATTAGCCGGCAATCTGTGTATAGCGAATCCGGATTTAGTTATAGGTCTAAAATTTTAATTGAAAATCAGGTATTAGTCCACAACAATGATAATAATTTCGTACATATAAATTCCAGATTTTTCCGCACTCATTTAAGACTAAGATGCTATACCAAATGTTTTCCTACAATCTGGATAGATTCAGTACGTTTAAAAATCTGAATTTGAAATGATAGTCTTGTATAATCCGACATTCTGTATGTATTAAATCTGCAACAATCTGAATTTATTTTGGTTTTGTTGCTTTTATTACAGTTTCTACTCATGTCGCCAGTGTGCAGTTCTCTCACAGTTAAGATGAGTCTTAAATTCTATAAGAACTGTTCACTGTCGGCGTAAAAGATATGTTGTCTTCTGACCAATAGTCACTACTTTGGTATTAATATTTCGGAATGTGGAATTAATCCGAAACAGTCTGCTTTAGAGTTGGGTTTCTATAATCCGGAACTACACAGAAAGAAAAAGTTTAGGAAAAAGTCCTAAAATAATTCAGTAATTCTAGATACGAGGGAAAAATATAGAGATATTCATGAATTTTGCTCGCTATGGAAGACTTCAGGATTTGAATCTGAAAAATTACGGAACTCGGAATTGACTCTGATGCGCAGTTAACCATTGCCACTGTGTATGCACTCGGCATACAGTATCTTATAGATTTCTACTAAGAAAGAGAAGCTATGTACCTGTTTTAGTTCAGAGGATACACACCAGATTTCTGTACCTAGAGATGAGAGTTCGAATCCGCCTGGAGTCAAATTTTCTCTAAAATTAATTTTCTGCTTCAGATTCTTAATAAAAATTGTTTCATGTGTGTGTTATATTAATAATATATGAGTTTGTATTTCATCGCTATATATAAATTGTTAAGTGTAACTCCACAAAAAAATGTGGAGTGATGAAAGGAGAAACAGAGCAAAATTTTTTTCGTCTTTCTTAGCTAAGAATTTTCAGAAATAGTTCCGTAATTTTTCATATGAGGCTTTATGAGAAATTCATGTAGTAACTCGTCAATAAGTAAGGAAGTTTCTTTAACATTTCTATAATGGACTAAGCAAATTCTAATTTGATTTCTTCTTGAATTACTAATGTTAATTTTAACAGAAAATGAGAAAATATTTTAGACTATATCCAAAATATTTTATCGATTTTGAATAATGAAATTTTGTTGTACGCTGATGATGCTAAATTATTTAAACCCATTAACTGCAGCGACGATTGTGAGGATCTCCAGTTGGATGTGGATAAATTTTATGATTGGTGTATAATAACAATTCTCTGGATGTTAATCCCAAAAAATGTAAGGTAATGACCTTCACGAAAAGAAAGGAGGCAATTAATTTTCAATATAGAATCGGTGACAGTTCGCTTGATAGAGTAAGTGTAATTAAAGATTTGGGAGTACACTTTACATCTAATCTTAAGTTTAACACCCACGTTGACACCATTGTGTGTGAAGCCAATCGAACACTGGGGTTTTTATTTAGAATATGCAAAAATTTTAAAAATGAAGCTGCTTTAAAAACATTATTTTACTCTCTCGTACGCTCTAAATTTGTTTATTGTGATATAATTTATTGTAATCTGCCAGAATATTTGTCTGAATCTATTGAAAAATGTCAGAAGCGGTTTTTGAAGTTTTTGCATTTCAAAAAGTATGGTAACTTTCTACCACCGGGATCTGATTATGGACAATTGTGTCATCGATTTAATGAAAACTCACTTCAAAGTCGTAGAGCGATTGATACTGTTTTATTTATATTTAAGATTATTCAATAGTTCATATTTACTTTCCGAAATACTATTTAATGTGCCTCAGTTCTTCTCACGATGTTCTCAGCCATTATACACAGGAATTATGCCTGCAAGTAAGACTACACCTATATTGAGGATGTGTGATTCATTTAATGTGATGTATAGAAATAATATTGCACGTTTTGATGATTTTGAACAGTCACTCCAAACATTCTTAACTGCTGTTCTTAGTTTCGTTAAGGAATATACGACGTTTAATTGTTAACCTTACATTGTGCGATACATATTACTTTTTTATATGATAATCCTGTAATTCGTCTACGTGACTGTTGGATTTACTTCAATAAAAATAAAATAAAAAAAAATAAAAATTACTTATTTAAACAGATAAGTTTGAAAATATCCCGAAATGGTCGCGATATCCTGAGTTACGTAATTTTTTCTTTCCGTGTAATATGGTTAAGTCCGAAATTAGTATTATTTGTGTGACTAGTAAATCCGGAATTAATCCAGCTTAATCCGTAATTAATCTACACAACCTAATAAATGCAAAATTACTTCTATTGAATCTGAAATTAATCCGACCTGTTTAATCAGTAAATCTAGAATCTGCATTCAGTAGGTACGTATTATCGAACTGACTGCGGATTAGACCTGATTAGCTCCGGATTCACTAGTTATACATAAATCGGGCAAATTTTGAATTTAGCAGGACTAATTCCGGATGACAAAAACCTGACAATAACCCAGACTGTTTCAACAGTCTGGAATTTTTATTAGGATACTTAATGAGGTTCCAAAGATACAAATATAAAATTTTAAAAACATTAATATACAAACATAAGTTTGACTAACAATTAAAAATAAAATAAATGCACAATATAAAACAAAAACTCCGTCAAATTTTAATTTAATTTACTGTTTTTTATAGAAAAAAATAATTTAAAAAAAGAAATACTTTTGTAATTTATATAAAACCAATTTTACTTTTGTTTCTTTATTTACAATGGAAATATAAGAAACAAGAGAGTAAAAATGGAATTTTTTTTTAATTAGAAACATGAAAGGAAATGAGAAGCGCGTATTTGCACTTTATTACAAAAGTAAAATAATACAACGTATTTCATTAAAAGTATTTAAAAAAAAAATTTTCTTTATTCTTTTTTGAGCTTGGGAAAGTTTGTAATTATATTAACTTTAGCTATTAAATTATGTATGGTCATTACCTATATTGCGATTACTGACATTATA